CCTCAGGCCCTTTCTGCTGCCCCTCCCTACCAACACTTTCTCTTTGTGCGACACCGTCACTTAGCTTGCTTGCTCTTGGGTATCGCTGGCCACAGAAAGCAATAACTAAGCTTCTCTCTGTCACCAGGTGGCAAAGACGAAGCCGGTTCGCCAGAGCCTTTGCTGCATGGAGTGGGACAGATGGTCGGTCCGCTCGCAATGTGCCCAACGCCCGACGCCCAGAAGCAGCGTAGCTGGACGTATACACACAACATCGAAACTGAAACATAGCTTTAATGTAGGCTCTTGATTAAAAGAAACCGGATTCATATGAGTCCATATACATGAGTGGAACATAACTCAAGGTGCAGAAGCTGGCTCTTCAATAGATTCCGGTGGCCTTCCGGTGGCTTGTAGTCCTGAAAGGCCTTTCCAAACGATGATGAGTAATTCCCTATAGGAGGAGGGGGTCCTGTTTTTGCTTTTTCACGTTGCTCCGACTTTGGGTGAAGACACTTCCAGCTGCAAGTTACGACCACGGTCTTCACTCTTGATCATCGTGCAACGGCAACGATGGAACTCCATGGTTGGCCCATGATTGAAGCATTTCTTTGCACTGGCCGCTGGCCACAAAGAGCCGAGTAAAACATTTCGTGTTCGGTTTTTCTTTCACACCCTGTAACCGCTTTGGTCATCTTTTCTCTCCCAGTGTTTGTTTTTCTTGTCAGTATACTCTTTGAATCATTTTGATCAGACATTTCGGGGCGCATCAGCCATGCCAAGGACTGCTGAGTGCAGTGAGGAGCCCCAAGCCGCTGCGGTTAGAGGCGACAAGCAAGGTACGGCGGTGAGTGGGCGGTGGTCAGTGGTTCATTTGGGTCAATACGCTTGTGTGTTCCGCACTTGTCTTGCACTTTGCTTAGGCCGTTTGGAGGTCCAGTAGCCTCTGTGTGTTCCCCAACACAAATTCATGGACGCCCAGATTGGTGCGTTTTCACGCTCGAGCTGTGGGATTCTTCGGGAACTTATACTGAAGACATTCACTTTGGTGATCCAAATCCATCACTTCTCCCGTGGCAGCCACTTTCCTCCCTTTCTTTTTGGGGCGCTGAGCGTGTCTTCCTGCAGGTTTCGCGCGTGTTTTCAGTGCTGTCCCTTTCGCGGGCAGGTCGAGCTGCACGCTCGGAGGCTCGGTCAGGGGTCTTCATCGGGTCTGCTGGATTGGCCGGCCATTCCAAAGGTGGGCCTTCTGAGTGGCTCAGGATGAAGAATGGCACTGGTTTGATCAGGGATACATTCATATTGGCCCTTTGAATGTAGAGTTCCGCCGCAATTCAGATCTTGGAGCCGATTCAGCCATGTTCACCGAACACGGCACAGCCGCCCAAAACGGATCAAAGCCAAACCAACCGCTCTCAGCCATAGTTGTAGCTCACGAGGCCATAGCACCGGGCTTTCGTTGTGGGCCTGGAGGCACCGACCTACCAGGTGCCCAGGGGAGGCATGAGTTCCCAGTGCTTCACATCCTCGAAAGCAGGTCGAAGGCGGATGTCCGAAGAGCGGATCAATAGGAGATGAACCGCAATGGCTTGAAAGGAGGTCCTAGAAAATGTTTGGCAAAAGGAGCACAGATAAGATAGTTAGTTGGTATGGTGGTAGGTCGAACCCCAAGAGAACTGTTGTTGATCCCATTGCACGTTCAAACAAGAACCGAGACAGGACAAGCTTCTCAGCAGCACAACGCCTAACACCTCTCTCCTGGCACCGAGTGCCATGCGCTGGCTCTTCTTGGCCCTCGCCAGCCACGCCGACCTCGTTGCTCACGTAGCTGGCGATGGCTTCGCGGCTTCCAGGATGCACGTGGTGCCGCGGAGGGTGCCGCATGGCGCATGGGAGGAGATCATGGAAGTGCTTTGGGAGGATGGAGCCTCTTGGCTTATGGAACTTATGGAAGTCACCTTCTAGAAGGAGCTTGGAACATATCAAGGAGCACAGACTTTGAACCGAACACGGTCCCGGTGGATCTCTCTCAACATTGAAGCTAGGTGTGATTCGCATCAGCCACCCATCAAGGAAGGACGAACACTTAGATATTCCCACACCTCCACATGCATCCAGACACACACACACACACACTCCCTCTTTTGGCTTCGACCCTGGTACCGAATCAATCTGCCAACGGGGGACCCACCCAAGAAGAAATGGTTAATGGTTGGAAACGTGAGCCAGATGAATGCTTCGGCCACCATCCATCATTGCAAGAGCAGCCCAAAGGCCGCCGGTTAGACAGCAGTGATGAACGGCCGCGGTTTCCGACTGGTTCCGAGAAGCGTTGTTTCGACTCTGGCTTCGGCATCCGCACAACCCACCACAGCTGGCTTCGGCCTTCCGACGACCCGATCCAGCGAGGCAGTGGTCGTCCTAAGCGTGGCGTCTTCCGGCGAAAGCTTTCGTCTCTCGGCGAATGGGGAAGTGGGGAAGCCAACGACGATCCGCCATGGCATCGAGAGTGGAGAACAGATGACAGGAAGCTTTAAAGTATTTGGTCGGGTGAACCTGTGCAAGTGGATGAACGTGATACAGCACCCCTACACAGCTGCAACTCTTGCCTGGCTCATTGCCACTCATGACATTTATGCACGTCTATTACTTTATATCCATTTCGCCAAACCCAGTGGGTGGCTGGTGGGAGCATCCTGTCCCACCATGTTCCACCTTCAAACCCGAACGATCCACGATTTCCGTCACATGTTGACAAATCTCCGTCATACAAAATGCAATCCGTTTTCCTTTTTTTTGAGGACATATTTTTGGTTGATTCTTTGTACTCATACTCGTAGTGTAACTTCCCACCTCGCAGCAAAAACCCTTCTCTGCGTCTCAGGGGACGCCGCCCGCGGCTTGGCGCAGCGGCTCTTCGCCGCGCCGCGCCCGGCGCTGCGTTCGCCGGAGGCGCCGGTCTCGGCGGTGCACGAGGAGTTGGAGGAGGCGGAGCGCCGGGGGAGGCTGGGCCAGAAGCAGGTGGAAGGGTGGGATGGGAAGAGAGTTGGGTACGGAATGGTAGGGAGCAGAGTTGGGGGGAAGGGGTATGGTTTTGGTGATTGCAACATTGCTTGGTGAGTGCTAGCTGCTAGGGGCCCCTAGGGGACCTCAATCTCGAGAAGTGAGGTTGGATTGTCGGAGAAGATCCACGGTCGTACGGTTAGGATATTTTTAGACTGTGACACTGTGGGAGGATTCCTGAGACACTGGAGAATATGTCTTCTTCGTTGGTCAGAGCATAAGTTTAGACTTAATTCAATGCGTGGTTGTTCCAAGAGATTCCAAGGCTCCCTTAGAGCAAAGCCAAGACTTCTCCCAACTGGCCCCCAATGGAAAGTTTCACATTTTCATGATGTTATAGATTGATTGATGTTTATTCTCAAGGTCCTCATTCAAAGAGGATTCGATGTCAAACATGTCATGCCTTGTACTCAACCTCTTGCCTTCATCTCATGACATTCGGATCCCTCCAAGGAAGTATCTGCCCGGCAGCGACTTGGCGAGGGTGTGGTGGATCTGACATCAAGTTCCCCCTCAGTGTACCATCCACTGGCCCTCCACCAATTGACATGAACCTGCACAAGGTTTGGGAGACGTCATTGTGCTAGGAGATGGTCGCTATGTGACTTAATGTGGGGGTAAGAGCAGTCCGTACAGGAACCGTATTGTTGATGGAAGAAGTACCCTCATACCACCTGGCATACGGTATACACAACAGGTCTGCCTGGGGATAACTCCTAAGTCAGGTGGTAATTGCAATTTTTTCCCTCCAGTAGCAGCTTGATTCCAACAACCTTGTTCTCCTGCGTTGGTCCCCCTTCGTTCGGCGGGATCGGCTTGACTTGAGTCGAAGACAAGCTTACATATACGTTTGGACACCATGACAAATGGATCCCGAGGAATCCATCCACATTCGCAGGGATCATGATCCACTCGCAGTGGCCAGCTCAAACAGACATGCTCAACCTCCTGGCGTCCTATCATTCTTCATTCACCCCGAACCACCTCAGCTCCCAAGGCGGTTTGTTGCCTCACACGGACGGCTACGTCTACGGCGACGCCTTTCCGGACTTCGTCCTCCTCCTCTGCGAGGAGCCGGTCGACGGGCGCGGCGCCAACGGGGGCGGAAACACGTTGCTGGACGGCCGCGCGCTGATCGCACAACTGGCGCCTGTGGCTTCAAAAAGGGGTTGGTGGTGATGGGTTAGATGAGAGTTTTGGAGGTCGAACTATGGCATTGGATGGTTGTTGGTCGCGCACAATCACATGGCCAGTGCTATGCTTGAGGTTAGATTCCCCCTGAGGTTACATTCCCATCCTGTTTGAGGGTCGTGGCATTTGGATGGAAGCTGTGACAAGTTGGGCTGGCTCGGAGGGTGGGTAAACAATGGCCCTGAGCTCGGCAAGTCCTCCCGCTCTTCAAGCTTCGATTCTTGGAGCTCAGAGCTGAAGAGCCACCCCATCTTAGCACGGGCACCTCATGTCTTCCTGCCAAACTTCTTTTGTTTCACCTCTGCTTCTCCACATCATCTTGACCTCTTTTTGGCCTCCACCTCTACCTCCACTGTCTCCGCTGAGGCGGCGGAGTCCCCGGAGCTGCTGCGCTTCGCGCAGGGCACCGCCGTGGACCTCTCTGAGGGCGCGGAGGGCATCGCCGCCGGGCGGCCGGCGGAGGGCCCGGTGACTGGGGCAGCAGAGGGTGTTCAACGGCGGGGTGTTCTGCGGGCTGGACATGCCGGGGGCTGCTTTGGCTGAAGCTACATTGTGCTACACTAGAGGTTGTTAGAAGTGAGTTCTAGTTGGGGGGCAGTGATGAAACTGGGTAGTGCATTTATGGTTTGAGATATGTAGTGAGAACTTGTTGCTTCTTCGTGTGAATACCTAGACCTATAGTATTACCTGGGGGATGAAGCCCATCACATGAGTCGCAAAGCACATATTCAGTATCCCACGTTCTGTTCGGCGCTTTTTTTCCGGACATGGAGCCCTGGTCAAAGGTCATTCAGTGGCACAACGAGCGGTTGAAGTGGAGGCGGCAGATCAATGTGGAGGAAGCCAAGCTTACGAAGAGTTGCATGGCACATGTCCTCAGCAAGGAAAGGGATAGGGGCCGCAGGAAACCTTTGCCTTTTTCCATGAGATTTAAACACGGGGGTTCTTGTTATGTTCCTCCAAAGGTTTTGTCACTTGCTTGTTTGCCATGCCGGGGCTTTCGAGATACCGTTGGGAGTTGCTTAGTGCATCATGTAGCACATGTTGGGCTTTGCTTATCTCCAACTCCTGAGGTTGGCATCCTTTGGATCGCCCTTTTGAGCCGAGCGCAAGCACGGGCCGGAGATATCTGTCACTTTGGACGCTGGGCCATCGGTTTTGGACATGCAGTGGTGGTCGCAGTGGTTCGTTGGAACGGTGTGAGCGGACCTGGGTGACGATATCCTGACAGCCACGGTTTGGGCAAGTTCTCTACCTTTGTATACTCAAGATGCACTGGCAAGGGATCCTTTAACTGGCCTTTGGGGGACCACGAATGGTAGATGTGGACCACGTGTGCCCCTTCAGTGTCTGTTCTCCTCAGGAAGCCGTTGCCAAATGCCTCGGTGGTCGAAGCTGAAGAGATTCGCGAGAAGTTGAAGCTCTTGGATCTCCAGTTGTGCTTTGGCCCAAACATGCCGGAACCTAACACCAGCCATTTACAGGTTTTGCAGCTTAATGCATCGCAATTTGTCTTGCAAGAATGTGTGCGGGATTACAATATATTTACTGTTTCTGTACTAAAACGTCTTATGGAAGTTCCAGGAAGCTTGATCACCACATACAGTCATGCAAGTGATCTTGCAACTCGCTCACATAGAATCCAAATTGCAGAGATCCCAAGCTCCAGCCGTGCCACCGAGCCCCCGAGCCCGGGGTGAGGCAGAAGGCCACCGAGCTGGCCGAGGAGCAGGCGTTGTTCCACCTGGCGGCCGGAGAGGCGCTGATCGTGGACAACTGGCGCCTGCTGCACTCGCGGCAGCCCTACCAGGGCCGCCGGAAGATGTGGCGTTGCTTGGATGGAGTTGGATGGGGCGGATGGAAAAAGAGGAGGAATGTTTTGTTGGCTTGCCGGATTTGAGCTTGGCGGCAACATCTGGCCGCAGGTTTGCTCCCTGTGCGCTTCCCAGCATCCATTTGGTCACTTCAAACGCCACAACTCCCACTTAGACAGCCCATAACTGCAGACTTTTGCTAAGTTTGGAATGACAGGGCATGACTGCCCTCACCATAGGCACCTTAGGATCCAGCCACCCTCATTCCCTGCTTTCGTCGCACCAGTCAGACGAACTGACTGCCACTCCACACCAGGCATCACCAGGCGTCACCAGGCCACCAGACCCCGCACGAGGCTTATGGTCCTGGACCTCCGCCGGCAGCGGCGCACCAGCCGACGGAGCACGGACCTCGCAGCCTCTGGAGAGCCAAGTCTTCGCAGAGCTTTGAGCTTCCTCTCTTGCCTCGACGTCCTGTAGAGGATTGGTCCTTAACTTTGGAACCTTAGCACATATAGTGAACTCGACTCCCAAACAGGTAGTACCAAAAGGATCCACAGGAAAGCCAAGCTAGCCAAGCTGTTCACTTTGTCATCGCTCCAAGACCCGGGAAGCGAAGCGACTGAGGATCCTGCGGGCCCCGACCGAGAACGTCTGACCACCGGGGTGAGAGGTCGTGGCTGACCGCGCAGGACCAGCTTTCGATCTTAGTTCGGCTGCATGTGGCGAACCTGGATCCCTGGAGAAAAGGAGCGAAACGTGATGCGCGAAACGTGATGCAGGGTTTGCTGTTGTTTCTTATTCTTTTTTTTCTGTCGGTGAGGCTTTGAGAATCTCGGTGCTTTGCGAAAGTAACAGAGGGAGTGCACCTCAGCAGGGAAGAGAGCCCTTGTGGAATGGGCTTTGGGTGAAACGTCCAAGACACCAGCAAGTGAAGGACCTGGTACCCCTGAAGCTTCTGACAAAGTGACTCCTCTCCTTTGGCTCTTCATCCAGACAAAAACTTGATTGAGGTGCAAGTGACCCTCAGGATGAAGAGCCAAAGGACAAGTGATTGACAAGTGATTCCCTGGGACCCACGGAGGCGGACGCCGCCACCGACGCCGCTGCGGCCGCGGCCGCGGCGGAGGCCGCGCTGCGGCGCCACGGTGAAGCGGTGCGGGGCGTGGAGGCGCAGAGTGCGGAGGAGGAGGCTTTGCTGCGGATGGAGCTTCAGGAAGCCCAGGAGAATGGGGAGATGGTGAGATGGTGAGAAGTTGGGAGGATGTTGGATGGTGGTTGGATGGTGGGCTAGAAGGAATTGGTGGTGATGAGGCACGATTTGGTGAGAGATTGATTGTTTCTGATTCAAGGTCTTGTTGCAAATCTGACTGATGGATGTCTTTGTGCGTGAGTTGGCATTCAATCTGGAAATCTGTGACACCACCAATGAACCTCGTACCATGGAACCTCAACTCTCAAATGAATCATTCGTCCACCTTCGAAAAAAGGCTCATCAGTTAAGCACCACTTTTTTCCGAATGTGTCCTGTCTGTGGTTTAGACCCGATGTGTCCCATGCGTCAGAGCCGAGGAGTCCTTACGCCGCTGCCAGCTGGAGCATCAGAGCCACACCCGTGCCGCACTGCAGAGATTCCGAGAGGATGAGCGAGAGGCGCGAAATGCGGTCAGGGCGAGTTGCGGATGGGAGTGGTTTGCAAACTACCAGGTTTGTTGAGAAATGTATCAAAACCAGGTAGAACTGATGAGACAGTTGAAGGTGAAGAAGACTGATTCAAGGTTTTTGTTCCCTGCGGTACCAGGCTCCGAGGAGTGGACTCCCAACACATCCAAAAAAACACCTGGAATCCTCCAAAAGCCACGTTCTCCGTGGTGGGGTCACTGCTTTCCTTCACTCAAGTTGATCTTCAACCCGACTGTGCCATTTTGATCAATGCCGGAGCTGTGCCAAACACAGCAAAGCTTTCCAACCTTCGTACTTCATTCATTTGGTTTTTCCTTTTACACTGGGCCTGGAAAAGACTCCGTTCTGGCGCCCAGTGGCTCCTTACCACCTCAGAGGCAGAGGAGCTCCATGAGCGTTTGGAAGCAGAGGAGTCCGCGTACGTCTCTGCCTGGCTCCCTAGGATGGTCAAGATCCAAAGACGGCAAATTGTCTTCGGATGGACATGGCTCCAGACAATCTCCACTTCCGAACAAGGCATGCCATGCGCCAGGGTGGAACAGCAAACATGCAGAAAACACACACTCACACACCTTACAAGTCCAAAGACCCAGTAAAACCTGGTCTTCTATACCTCCTTGACAAGTGTTTCTGTCTACATGAACTCTAAACTCGGACAGCTCACCACGTTCCCCCAACGCTCGCGACCCGTCCGGGCCCTTCACTCGCCGTGGCTCGTCGACTCCGAGGCTCGGCTCAGCGTCCCGGTGCCCTCGGAGGCCCAGTCCGCCACCCGCAGTCGTCTGTCACCTCCAGTCTGTCCCCGGGCTTCACACCGATGAAAACGCCGTGGGCGCCCATGGCACACGTGCATCGAGCATGGAGAAAACCACGGCGAGCTTGGTGGCGTTGGTGGGTCCTGGCGGGTTCCGGGCTGTAGAAGTCGCGGTGCTTTTGGAAGCTGAAACACTCCAGGGGAGCAAAGAGAACCCTTCGCTGCCGGCCAATGCCCTAGTGCGAACGGCTTACCGTGACCGTTTCAACCCAACAGAAAAGTATTGGTTTTGGTTTCAGTAGTAGGCTTCTGTATCTGCTTCCAAGCACACTGAGAAAACTCTACGATAAACGGTGGAAAGCACTGGTCCCCCCCGAAGAGGAAGCACCGTCAGAAACACAGAGGGTCTTCAGGTTCCACCGGCCACTGTGTATAGTCCATTCAAAGTCGCCCATTCATCTGTGTATTTGGATGTACTTGATCTCTCCAAACTCACCCCCTTCCAGATGTTCCTCTCGTCGTGTTTTTCACCTTCCTCAGCGGTCTTTGGTTTCGAGCACCGCCCTCGCAGCCTTCCGTTCAAACTCGCACCCGACCTTCGAGGCCTCTCCCCGAAGGTGGGGCCCGTGCTTTCTCGGAAAGGGCAGGTGATGGTAAAAGATCACAGCCCCAACGATGCCGGACATGAAGTCACATGTTCCTTTATGTCTAAAATTATTAACTTTAACGCTTCGTTGAACTTCGTTGTCCTTTTTCTTTTCTTCACGAAGTTCTTATCATTCTTGTGTGTCACCTTCGAAATTCGCGCACTCTCATGTCTTTTCCTCCTCTATAGAACCCCAAACTGGATGCAGATGCCTTCGCTGCCTCGCTCTTTGCCTCGCCGACCCAGATAGCCGTCACCAGGTCGAACCCTTCGGAGCGGCGCGTTCCCAGCGCGAGCCGCGGTTCGACCCGCGAGCGCTTCCCGTCGCTGCGCGGCAGCGCCGGGCGTTCGGCCGGGCGGCCCAGTTGGAGGACGGGAAGCAGTTGGGAAGGCCGAGGGTGACTGACCACAGCAGTGGGATTGATGGGATTGGTGATTGATTGATTGATCGATTGGGTTTGCTCAATCCATTTTGGTAGGCCAAGTTGCTGATTCAGCCAAATCTCTTCTGCATTTTGCTTCGCGACTTTTCCAGATGTTGGGAAGCACTGGCCAGTCCTTCCACGACGGCTGAGGGGCCGATCTTGGAGCAGAAGGAAGTCCAGTCCTTCTACTCCCAGGCCGTTCGAAAAGGATTGAAGCATAGGGTGCTCCCCTAGCCGAGGAAGTGCCCTGTGACAATAGTCATTGGAGCTTGACCAGACTGATGCGGTTGAAACTGCTGGGAAGAGGATGGTGGTCACGCGAAGAAGCTGAGGGGTGTCCAAGTATCTTCTAGAATACAGAAGATCGAGTACAAGATCTTGGAAGTGAGGAAGACAAGACATGTTTGTGTCGGCGTCTTGGTGATAGGTTTGACGAGCAGTTATTTTGTCACTTAGGCATTGTAACACATCAGAAGTCCTTCGCATTTTTCAGAGGCTGCTCAATCAACAGTAACTCCAGTGTGTTTCTCCAAACAACTGTGGTACTGAGGTGTGAATTGACCTCCCCCAAAACAAAAGGTACACGACTTGCATGAGTAGCTCAGACGGTGGAGTGACTGCAGGTGAACGCGCTCCAAGGGGGTCTGCCGGTGCGCGCCTTGCGCCCCCGAAAGCAGACCTTTGAGGCCCTTTTCATTTTTTGTCCAGCGGCGCTGGTGGTGGAGTGGTTGAGTGGGGCACAGGTCGTCTTTGCAGGTCTCAAAGCAAATCACACCCCACCAAACTCAAAATGGAATGGGTTTTCGGAGTATGACACCTGAACGGTCTTTTTGGATCCAAGGTGTATACCATTGATGGCCTGAGTCGCACTGGCCTCCACCCTTCGGTGATCCAGACGTGTGCCGTTCGCTGGGCGTTCCAGGAGAAGATGCTGGTCCGGAGCTGAGATCGTTTGCGGTCGATCCGTGACCGGGCGGAACGACGTTTCGGGCGTTGAGTCGTCTGAGGGTTCGATGTGGGACGAGTGGCCGGGTGATATCCAGCGACATCATTGGTTTCACTGCTTCGAATCCAAGAATCTGCACAAAGTCACCATGTAGAAAATGAACGTTTCTTGATTGCCACACCTCTGAACCCAGAGTTTGTGGTCTGGAGAAACGCCTGGAATCCCTGTGATTGGGTCTTTGTAGGGGTAGTGAACCCAACAAAATCGCTGTATGGGCCAAATCCAGACTCTTCTTTCCTCGCCTGCATTTCCAGCAGAAGCGCTTCACCAGGTTCCAAGCAACCCAGATTCCAACTGGCAGCGCACACCCAAGTGAAAGACCTACACAGATGCCACGGTGTTGAGCAAAAAGCCTGAGGTCTTAAGCTCTGATCTACAGCGCTTGGAACTCTGGCGCCCTGGCCAGACCGACATGTCGGCTGCATGGGAAGGGGGGGTAGATGGGAGACCGCCGTGATGTTTATGAGTGAACTTCAGATAGATGACCCCCCAGGGTTTGAAGCATGGTGTCCCATTCTTCTACCCTGAAGCGACTTGGCTAGACACAATGTTCAATGCGTGGAAGGACGTTTCGGCGGCTTTTTCATGCTTCTTATTCTCTTCCTATAGTTGGGTGGGCTACTAAATACAACCCTTCACCCAGTCATTGTAGGACCAGAGCCCGCAAACCCGAAAACACACCTGAGGCACCATGTGCAGCGGAACAGTCATGGTTTCGTGGGGTGTAGCACCACCTGTTCGGTCTTCGGAAGATGGCCATGCCATCCACTTCCACCAGCGATCGATCTCCAGGGCTCGATCTGATACGGACGGACGGACGACCATGTTGAACGACCTCGCGCTGGTCACGTTGATGGGAGACGGGTACGGAGATGGAGACTGTGGCACCAAGGCCCAAAAGCGCCGTAGCCTCAGGAGGAAGACATTCTGCACATTG